CAAATGTGTATCAGACTGTGCAATCTCTCCATGAGTTGGTTTTGAAACCCAGTATGCGATTCTGAGATACATTACCAAGGATATTATTACAAGATAAATCATTTGCTTCATTGAACACATACAACAATGCATATTTCCACTGAGATCAGTGACCTTTGATGTGTATCACCAGTGATCAGTCAAGTAGAAACAGTCAAAATATTTTATCAGATTTTCTCAATTTTTGCATGATATTTTCATACAGGACATCTGTTGTTCAAACTCAGGGAAGACTTTATACTGATGAATAAGGTGACCAAGTTTGATAAAGTTTGGAATAGAATTAGTAAAGTTATTATGCACACAATAACAATTATTAACGACGACGACGACGACGACGACAACGATGACGACGAGAACAACAACAACGACGGACAAAATTTTTCCCTTAATATACCTTTCCCTTCCATCTTTGATGGTACGGGCAAGGTAAAAAAACACTACCCTCATTTTGTCTTAATTTACATGCATTTTCCATTTTTCATAATACCGGTATATATCAAGTTTTTCAAGAAGTCTTTGTAGACAAATAACGCTGTCTGAAAACAAAGCAATGTCATCAGCAAACAAAAACAACACATTCAACAAGCTAAAGAGAAAGTTGTATACCATGATGCTCGGATTGCGGAAGCTCACTTGCTAATTCATTTATTAAAAAAATGAAAATAGAAAGATTCTTAACATGCACCCTTCTCACATTCATTTGGTGTACACGTGATAATAAAATAAATTAGAAAAATTACAAATATTTACTATATGGGGGCAGCCATCTTGAATACGGCTTGAAACTAAATAGAGATTTCCAGATTGCTATAAATCAGCACAAAAAAAATGTTTAAACTTTTGCAGCCAAACGATTCGTTTGGTTAACATTAAACCAATCGCAAAACAAAATTCGTTTGAATTCTTTGTTTTTGTGTTGAAAAATCCCTTGCAAACGAACACCTCATTACACGAAGAACATAGAACACTTTCTGTTTTTTTTTTATTACCTATTTATTTACTCTACTTGAAATCACGAATGTGCCGATATTTTAATTACATCCTGAATCAAAATGTTCACATTGCATACAAGTTAATTTACCATGAAGCAACCCACTATTCAATGCATGCATCATCGACAAGTTGACCTAGAGATTATGCAACATATACAATGTACGTAAAATACGTTACTTATTAATTATTCATTTCCCCTGCCTTAAGCATTTAAATGATGGATCAATAAAAATGATTGATAAATTAATTATTTTAATGAAATCACAGAAAGTATCCCTGGGATTCAATTCTGCATTTAAGTTTCCAAATAATTTAAATTGTAGGTGAAATTCAGTTTGAATAAAATACAATCTGATACAAATACAATTAAATTTAACACTCTATCGCCACGTATTTGTATACAAAACTAATTTTAAACTAATGTTAAGATACTATTCAATTCCAAGACTGAATAACTAATGCATTAACATTTGATCTCTATGCACACAACACTGTTGAGAACACACAACACTGTTGGAGGTTAAGTATACACTATGTATGTGGAAAAAAAATAATATTAGCTGTGAGTAAGCAGGCGTGTGATTTGTAATGACAATCTCACAAGAATTTAACAAGATTCACACAAATTACGAGATGGTTACAAACTTATTAGAAATTCTAATACATCCACATTTTCTGCTGCAGATAATTCTTTTCACACAATAATGATTTAAAATTAGAACCAAATACCATAAAGTACATATTATCAGATATCATATATTGAAAATTGTGAAAAGGAACCTAATTACATATATATACATACATACATAACATTACATATTGGTATGTAACAATATTTGGAGTGACTTTGATATAGTATTAAAAGTGAAACAATGTTTGCTCAATAACTATTAGATTATTAAATTATTATTTTTTCATTTTGGTAGTGGAAGGGGTTTTGGCATGTTTTTTTTTCTTCTCAACACCCATTAGTCATTCCCTACTAAATTGTAACTAGATACTGTAGTTGACATTTTGGAGCATGAACCAGAAGAACACTGAGGCAGAAGTATAGTATGCTTGTGTTGATGCCCAGAGACTAACACTGACTGAATATTCCAGCTGGCATCTTTAAAGAACCACATACTAGTATTCACCCTGGGAATGGTGACTAAAGTACAAGTGGAAAATGGAGAAAAATAGATTTTGTTAATCTGCGAGATGCACTGGTTTACTCCATACATGGTCATGTTGCTCCCTTGATTGTATGTGTGTGTGGCACTATTCAATGGATTGGAGCTTGTGGTGGTCTTGGAGACCG